GAAATTTCCCAGATGTGTTGGAGAGATTGTGGAGAGGTGGGCACGTGGTATCATGTGGTGGGAGTGTCCAGAAATACAGGTGTTCTGGCGAAGGATAGTTTACTTGATAGGGAAGATTACTAAAATCAATATAGGATTAGACCCAGAATTATGCCTCCTCCATATCTCAGAACTCCCAGTAAAAGTATATAAGAGGTCAGGGATATGGTATTACTTAACCGCAGCAAAGAGCTTGATACCCAGGTACTGGAAGAAAAGAGAGGTGCCAACGGAGGAAGACTGGATGGGTAGAGTAAACCAGATTTCTGGGACAGAGAGATTGTATTATACGCACGAGGATAAGCTGGAGATGTACAATAAAAAATGGAAAGGATGGGGAGAATATAAAGAAATGGCGAAAAAGGTGAAGAGATAAGGTCCTGGGTAGTCGGTTCAGAATTGGATTTAGGAATAATAGAATTATATGGAGTAAATGAGAGAAGAGAGAATATAGAGCGTGGGAAGGTGAGGGAGGGAAGGGAGGGGACGGGGAGAAGGAGGGGGGGGGGTGTTTGGGAGGGGGGGATGGTATGAAAAGAAAGTCATATATAGGAATAAATTTTATAAGGAGAAAATATGTTTTTGATAAATATTTTAAGAGATATGTTGAAATGACTTGTATGTGGATTGAAAACTAATAAATATTTATAAAAAAAAATAAAAAATACTTATCTTTCTCACTGAATTGCTACTAAACTTATGCCATTTAAATTATGTGTGTTTTTTCTGGATTTTTGGTTGATATTCTGTCTCTGTCACTTAAAATACACCTATGAAAAAAATTATAGACCCTTCATTTCTTTGTAAGTGGGCAAACTTACAAAATCTGCAGGGGATCAAAAATTATTTTCCCCACTGTATAGACACCAAATACTTTAACCCCTATATAAATATTCAAGGACTATGTAGTTGAATTTTGAATAGTTCAATTTATGTGTTTGCCCTTTTTACTTTCCGTTTTTCTTGTTTGTATCCTGTTGTGTTGAAAAATGTAATAAAGGCGAAAATAGATTTAGAAAAAAGAAATATGTAATATCTGACCTTAGTCTCCACTCCTATTATTCATTTTAGATAATAAAAATAAAAAAACTGATGATGGCTATAAACTGGAATAATGTGGTCACTAATGTGACTAACCAGTGTTATAATTTTGATCATTGGGCCATTTAGGGCATTCTTGAAGGATGAACAACAAGAAACTCTATACAGAGGAAAATCAGCGCAAAGAGCAAGCACCCAGCTTCTATATGTAAGGAGCACTATTAAAACATATAATATAATGACATAAAAGTCCATAGAGCACTAGGGCCAGCTACATATAGTAGTAGCAAACTCTGTATGGAAGTAAGATATCTGGAACGCCACCTTTAGAAGACTACACATGCCGGCCGGCAACCCTTACACATCCACGGTTTTCTTAGTGCGGACGCGGCAAGGACACAGCCATCCACCTACCTAGTTGAGCTTACTTTGATTTTACACAATGTGAGTGGTTCTACATTGTTTGCCAATAAATATCGTCTTATACTGCACCTAGAGGCGCTTCTTTCTTCTTACATCTTGAAGGATGACAATGAGCAGTGCAGGCAACATTGGCTTAGCCACAATATTCTGTACAATATTCCTGTATATATGATTAACAATATAATTCTGTGATGCATAAACAATATATCAAGGGTAAAGCAGTTTTTGCCATATAATGTCAGATCATCTTTATTCTGATTATATTGATCTTGAGCTAGAGATCTGTGCACATACAGTTAGGTCCATATATATTTGGACACAGGCACAATTTTAGATTTTCTCAGGTATTTACCACAACATATTCAAGCTATAGTTATATAATGGATATGGGATGAAAGCGCACACTCTCAGGTTTAATATGAGGGTATTTACATCCAAATTGGAGGAAGGGTTTAGGAATTACAGCTCTTAAGATTAGCCACCCCCCTTTTTCAAGGGACCAAAAGTAATTGGACAAACTAAAATATAATCATAAATAAAATGTTCATTTTTAATATTTTGTTGAGAATCCTTTACTGGCAATGACTGCCTGAGGTTTGAAACCGATGGACATTACCAAAGACTGGGGTTCCTCATTTCTGATGCTTTGCCAGGCTCTAACTGCAGCTGTCTTCAGTTGTTCTTTGTTTGTGGCTCTTTCTGCCTTTAGTTTTGCCTTCAGCAAGTGAAGTGCATGCTCAATTGAGTTGAGATTGGGTGATTGACTCGGCCATTGCAGAATATTCTACTTGTTTTCCTTCAAAAGCTCCTGGGTTGCTTTTGCCGTGTGTTATGGATCATTGTCCATCTGTACTGTGAAGTGCCATCCAATCAACTTTGCTGAATTTTGCTGAATCTGGGCTAAACACTGCAGAATTAATCCGGCTGCTTCTGTCTTTTGTCACATCATCAATAACCACCAATGACCCAGTGCCATGGGAAGCCATGCATGTCCATGCCATCACACCGCCTCCACCATGTTTTCAGATGACATTGTGTGCTTTGGATCATGAGCTGTTCCAAGTCTTCTCCACACTTTTTTCTTCCCGTCATTCTGGTACAGATTAATCTTAGTTTCATCCATCCAAAGAACTGGTCTGACTTTTTTAGATTTTTTTTGGCAAAGTCTAATCTGGCTTTTCTATTCTTCAGGCTTATGAATGGTTTGCACCTTGTGGTGACCCCTCTGTTTGCTCTCCAGAAGTCTTCTCTTGATTGTAGACTTTGACAATGATACTCTTAAAAGCTGTAATTCCTAAACCCTTCCTCCAATTTGGATGTAACAGTTGTGCTCAAACGTTTACATACCCTGTCAGAAATTGTGAAATTTTGTCATTGATATTGAAAATATGACTGATCATGCCAAAAAATGCTCTTTTATTGAAGGATGATGATCATAGGAAGCCATTTCTTATCAAATAGTTGTTTGGCTCCTTTTTAAATCATAATGATAACAGAAATCACCCAAATGGCCATGATCAAAAGTTTACATACCCTGGAATGTTTGGCCTTGGAACAGACACACAAGGTGACACACACGGGTTAAAATGCCAATTCAAGCTCTTACGTGAAAGCACTGACTAGGCTAGATACTGAGCCTTCAAAACAACCACACTGTCTTTTTCCAGAGCAGCCTGTATTTCTTTTGAGGTTGCCTGTGGGTTTTTTCTATGAATCCCGGACAATTATTCTGTCAGTTATGGCTGCAATCTTTCTTGGTTTACCTGACCTTGGCTTGGTATCAAGAGATCCCCAAACTTTCCACTTCTTAATAGGTGATTTAACAGTACTGATTGACATATTCAAGGCTTTGGACATCTTTTTATGTCCTTTTCCATCTTTACAAAGTTCCATTATCTTGTTACGCAGGACTTTTGACAGTTTTTTTCTGATCCCCATGGCTCAGTATCTAGCCTAGTCGGTGCTTCCACGTAAGAGCTAACAAACTCACTGACTAGTTATACACTGACACTAATTGCAATTTAAAAAGCCACAGATGTGAGACATTAACCTCGAATTGGCATTTTATCCCATGTGTGTCACCTTGTGTGTCTGTACCAAGGCCAAACATTCCAGGGTATGTAAACTTTTGATCCAGGCCATTTTGGTGATTTCTGTTATCATTATGCTTTAAAAAGGAGCCAAACAACTATTTGATAAGAAATGGTTTCCTATGATCATCATCCTTTAATAAAAGAGCATTTTTTTTGGCATGATCAGTCATATATCAGTCAATGCCAAAAAATTCACATTTTCTGCCAGGGTATGTAAACTTTTGAGCACAACTGTACATACCCTCAAATTAAACCTGATAGTGTGCACTTTCAGCCCATATCCATTATATAACTATAGCTTGCATATGTTTTGGTAAATACCTGAAAATAATTAAAATTGTGCCTGTGCCTAAATATATATGGACCTACAGTAACTGTATATCACTAACTGTCACTGTCAATTTGTGTAGAAAGCCTCTTCATTTTCTATCTCCTCCCATGAAATAATTAAGCACTTATTAGATCCTAAACAAAGCAAAATTGTTTCCAGGGTGCAGATTTAATTGCTTTTACTAGCGTGTGTACATATGCACAATATTTTTGGGCTCCAAGATAGTGAGAGCCCATCATTATCCAGTGGAATTCATACTATGTTTATTAAATGTGGGAACCCAAAACAGATTTCTGAGACTCTTTGTGCTTCTGACCTGCAGATTTTGCTCCCCTGCTTTTAGAAGGTAATACTGGAATTATGACATGCTGTCAGCTCGGCTGTTAACACATCATTTTTTTTAACTTTTATAAATATATTCATTTTATTCTTTCCTTTGGAGTCACCTGGGATAAACTATGCCCAAACTGTTTTCCTACTTAATTCTGCCTAAGGCAACACAAGTGCTGCAATGCACATACAGGTCCCCTGTGTTGTCTGCAAATAATATGTTAGTCACTACCCCCCCTGCAAATAAATTGTTAGTCACTATGTTATGGTAGTGTAACTTTATCTACATGTCCCTGTGTTGCTGCTTGGATTCGTTGGCTTAGATGCACTTAGGGCCATGACTTCTCTGAAGAGATGACCCATGCCCATCCTAACACTAAACCCCAATTTCTGTCTTGCAAGGGTTTAATGCCAGAGCCTCAACTACCACTTGGTGTGCCAAGGGCTGAGTGTCAGAAAAGGGGCTTAAAGTCCGCTATATAATCTATGCCTAGCATGTAATGCCTGTAAGTACCTATGTTGAAGACCAAACATAGGTACTTGCAAGCATTACATGGCCTATATTTAGCACTGTCAAAAACATCTAGTCTCTACAGATAATTCTTAGGCATAAAGACAAACCTACTTATATTTTCCCATCTTTCATATGAGTAGATAGGAATTAGCTGTCAATCATCTTACTACAGACCCTGATTTTCTCCCTCCCACATTTGTTCCTCTCCTTCTTTTTGTGCTCTTTGCAGATACATCCCAGAAGGTCTTCAGTGTTCCTGTGGACCAGACTGGTACACTGTAAATAACAAGTGGAACAATGAATCCTACGTAATTTTCATCTTCTGCTTCTGCTTTGGGTTTCCTCTGGCTGTCATTATGTTTTCCTACGGGAGATTGCTCCTTACGCTGCATGCTGTAAGTGGTACATAAAAACATCAATAGTAAAAAAAAAATGATAGCAAACTTATTTAACGTGAGTCAGAGTTTCTTTATCATGGAAGTTGCCCATTACTGCACTTAAAGCTCCAAATTGGACCCTCCAACTGTTCTATTCAGTACACTTCCAGTTTTAAAACATACACACCAGTTGTCAGAGAAGGTCCAAGCTGTAACTGGCATTACCATTTGCACCCTACGCAGAATTGACCTGGCTTTCAAAATGAGAGCGAAGCCCAGCAGATGATATAGTGAGAGCAGTTTTGGGTCTGTAAACTGTGTAAGTTTGACAGCCGGGTCATGCCTTGTGTATCAGGAACATTAACAGCATCTCTGGTATGAAGGAAGGTTGCAAAAGTTTATTATTTTCTAGAAAATAAAATGTATTCCCATCTAACCAACTCTAAATAGTTGTTAATAACTTGTTCCTCTTGAAAATGTTTTCTTCTTTTTTTTCTGTTTCCATTTTTTCACCATTCAGATGTAAACTCTCCATTTTCTTAACTTTTGTGTATTTGATTTTTCCATCACATTGAAAAACAAAAACCCAATCAAAGATAATATTTCATGCTTTGTACCAAAAAACATTTTAGCACCCTTGTAAAAAGACACATTTAGGTATGCTCTTAGGTTGATGACAGGAGGAAGGGGTGTTGTGTTGGGCAAGGTGTACATTACCTTTTCTTAGCATTTCTATGTCACCCACTCACTGGTTGATTCACCAAAACAGTATATGTAAAATCCATGTCATTGAATGAATCAGAAATGACAGCTCTTAGCAGCAACCAGCCGTGCCAGCTGGCAGTGTTCAGATTTTTCCCATGGTAATGTAGGGTTGTAAAAACTTGGCAGGAAGAGATTCAACTCTCCACCAAGAGCTGCAAAACATCTTTGTTTTAGTGAAATTGACACAAACTTTTGGTTTATAAACATGTTTTATTCAAGTATGTACTCTTAACTCAAAAAAAGTACCTTCTTCTGCTCTCAGCCTCCTCCAAATCTCTAAACTCTTTTTTTTGCTGCTCTGATTCTATTTTCTGATAGAGGGTAACTATGTTTGTTCAACCTTTGTCATGTTGTATATAGGAACGTAGCCGCCCTCTCTTGCTTTCTCCCGAGATAGACTAGGGACTATAGGATTTGAAAGTGGGCATAGAGCAGTACACATGACTGTGACTAACAGGCACTGCTCATTCCAAACAAATGGAAGAATGTGAAAAAAGGAGAGGTTTGGCAACTCACAGAGGATGTTGCAAAGGGGCAGAAAAACACCATAAGAAACAATCTAATGAAAAATATATTACAGGGCCATTAAGACAGTAATAAACTGGCAAAAAAAAAAGAAAATCCCCTGCAATGTCATAATGTGCTTGTATGCATCGCATACACGTACCTTAGAACGATGCCCTCCAGCTGCGCGGTGATGTCATCGGCTGCAGGGGCAATGAATATCTCCTAAATGGTGCATGTTTAGGAGATATTCCTTGTACTTACAAGTAAGCTATCATTTAGTGTCACTTTAATCTGTCAGTTTAAAAAAAATCCATGCAAAAAGTCAGAGCATGTTGAACAGATTGTCTAGCATAGTGGTTCTCAACCTTAGTGAGACCAGGGCTTGGTAAATGTGACATAGGCAATAAACCACAGCTCAGCAGTGGAAAACTGTGTCCTGGCACCAGGCCATGGCCCAGTGGTTGAGAATGACTGATCAGATTAGCACCTAAACTTAGATGTGATATGGGAAAAGTATTAAATGTTGCATTTCGGAATATTTTCAATTTACCACTAGTATTTGATTTTTTTTTTAATAGGTTGCAAAGCAACAGGAACAGTCCGCCACCACTCAGAAAGCTGAGCGGGAGGTAACCAGGATGGTGATTGTGATGGTCCTTGGATTCTTGGTGTGCTGGCTTCCTTACGCTTCTTTTGCTTTATGGGCAGTAACTCACCGTGGTGAAACATTTGACTTGCGTATGGCTTCCATTCCATCTGTATTTTCAAAAGCTTCCACTGTATACAACCCATTTATCTATATTTTCATGAACAGGCAGGTGAGTTTTCCTGACATTAATTCTCTTTGTTTACCTTTAATTTTTATACAATGTATTGTTTTTTTATTACTGGAAACAGGGTAGCAATAGCTTGCATGCAGACGATGAGGGCTCTTTCACACCAGCTTGCTTTAGCAATGGTGGTGCCATTTACTTTGAATGGCAACTAGATGCACCTTCAGAACTCACCTATTAAAAATCGAGGTGTGTTGTGGTAAAAAGAACATTAGCTGGGGAGATTACCTCTGCATTGTGGTCCATTCAAAATGAATGGGTTGTAGTAAAAACAGCATGCCACAAGGCATGGTAAAGGTTGTTGTCACAACATACGATGGTGTGAACAGGCTCCAAGGACTATAGCATTACAGTTTTTGTCTTTCAGTGTTCCTTTCTCTCTTTGAAAGTCTTCTAGTTAGAACTAACCTAACTGGAATCAACAGATTGTAACAGCAGAACTGTAGACCCATTGCTGTTGCCATAATGGGCAACACATTCCTGTTTGCCTTCCTCCAGCACTGACAGATCAGAGCTATTCCTCGCTGTCCCTCTGTACACCATCAAGGCCATCTTTTCCAGGTCTCCTTCCTGGTTCCCGTCACTCTTCAGCCTTTGAATAGAAAATTATTGTCCTAGTGCCAGACTCCGTTCTGGCATCTTACAGATGCCTGGATTGGGCCAGAAATGTAAACTGCACTACACATAGTTACATAGTTAGTCTGGCTGAAAAAAAGATAGAAGTCCATCCAGTTAAACCATTAAAAAAAAAAAAGTTATAATCCTATACACACAGTTGATCAAGAGGAAGGCAAAAAAAAAAACCCCAGCAAAGCATGATCCAATTTGCTCCTGCAGGGGAAAAAATTCCTTCATGATCCCCCAAGGGGAAATCGGATATTCCCTGGATCAACTGTACCTATAAATGTTAGTATCCAGTTATATTCTGTGTATCCAAGAAAGAATCCAGGACTTTTTTAAAGCAATCCACTGAGCTAGCCAGAACCAACTCTTGAGGGAGTCTACTCCACATGTTCACAGCTCTTACTGTGAAGAAACCTTTCCGTGTTTGGAGATTAAATCTCTTTTCCTATAGACGTAAAGAGTGCCTCCTTGTCCTCTGTGATGACCTCAGGGTGAATAACTCTACACCGAGTTCACTATATTATTATTATTATACAGGATCTATATAGCGCCGACAGTTTGCTCAGCGCTTTGCATTATGGAGGGAGACAGTACAGTAACAATACAGTTCAATACAAGAGGGATTAGAGGGCCCTGCTCCTTGGAGTTTACAATCTAGGATGGAGGGGAAAGTGGTACAAGAGGTAATTAGCTGTGGGGGATGGAGTGCTAGGAGGAGTAGGGAATTCCGGTATTACCTGGGTTCGGGGTAGGCTTCCCTGAAGAGATGGGTTTTCAGAGTGCACCTAAAAGTGAGCAGAGTAGGCGATAGCCTGATAGCTTGGGGTAGGAAGTTCCAGAGGATGGGTGAAGCCCTTGAGAAATCCTGGAGACGAGCATGGGAGGAGGAGACAAGGGAACTAGAGAGTAGGAGGTCTTGCGAGAAGCGAAGAGTACGGTTTGCGAAGAGTACGGTTTGGGAGACAAGGTTGGTGATGTAATTAGGGGCAGTGTTATGAACGTCTTTATACGTCAGTGTTAGTGTTTTGAATTTTTATCCATTGGGCAATTGGAAGCCAGTGGAGGGATTGGCAGACAGGGGTGGCAGATACAGAGCGGTTAGTTAGGTGAATAAGTCTGGCAGCAGCATTCATGATGGACTGGAGTCCCTTGGGGATAGCCTGCGATGAGGTAGGCCAGTGAGGAGGGAGTTACAGTAGTCGAGGCGTGATATAATAAGGGAGTGAATGAGTTGCTTAGTGGTTTCCGAGGTTAGGAACGGACTATATGATCATATCCCCACTTTAATCTCCTCTTCAAAACATGCACCGTAGGAACTGTACATGTAAAAAACTGGAAGTAAAAAGGGGAAAGGGTTTTTTTTCAGCTGAAGACATACAAAAAGCCTATTCTTCTAAAATAGAAATCCATCTCCTAGCAATTTTTTAACTAAAGTTCTCATTTTACTAAACTTATACAACAGTCAATAAAGGTAATCTTTATTGCAATACTGTAAATATTAAGGCTGTTAGGCTGACCCTTTGACTTTAATACAATCTGCGGCACTCATCTGGATCAAACTTGTAGAGTAGAGTGGAAAATCAGAGTAAAATATTCCTGACTTGTTCCAGATTATAAAGTATTGAAGCCATAGGGTTTGAATTACATTCCAGACAACTGGCATTTTTTAGGAGAGGCCAACAATCACACGCTTTATCAGTACAGATTTTCTTTAAAGTGGTTGTAAACCCCCACATATACCCAGTGAAGTGACTGTCCTCAGGTGATACAAAAATCATTCTACATACGTTTTACCAGTTTATCTACAGCCATCTGTTCCCTACATCCATTCAAAGTACTGAATTTATCTCAGCACTGAAAAGCAGGGGACAAGGAGCTGAAGGAGCAGAGCTCTGAGAGTTGATTTGAGGGAAAGGACACACCCCCACTTCACACAGGAAAAGAGCTAAGGCTGTCAATCACAGGCTCTGTCACCATTTTTCTCTTGGTGTCAGGAAAACTCATCAGAAGTGACTCATACTGATAGCAGAGGAACAAGGCAGTGGCCAGAAATGATACTTAGGGCTCTGGATTGAGACAAGTACAAACTATAGAGGGATATAGTTTGTTCATATTTCATGTCAGGTTTACAACCACTTTAATGCAAACCTTGCGCTATGAGCTAATTTTCTTTGACACCCCTTTTATACTGCAGGTAGCAGCACCATGCTCCTTCTAACCAGATCCCAGGGAATGCAGGGTAGCTCAAACATCATGAGATGATGCTTGGGCACAGTGCAGAAGCATATTCTCGGGAGACTTAAGCTACTTTCTTTGAGATCTAGCAGGAAGGAGCATGACAAAAACCATGCCTAGATGCTGCAGGTAGAAGTTGGGGGAAAAGTGAGTATATTATAACTTTTTTTCCGTAAAGTTTTCCTTTTTTTGCCATGTTTTGGAAATGGAAAGGGTGAAAAGTAAATAAGAACAACATACATTTTTAGTACAAGGCCCGCTTTAAGCAGAGAAGCTAGTCACATGCCCTGATATGTAAGTGACCACTAAAGGAAATATTTATAAATCATCAGTGTATGAAATAGGATAATTAAAATGTGGAGCAGCCAGCAAAGTGGAACATGAAAGTTTCTGAAAATTACTGAAAATTAAACATTTCTGTGTAACCACTTAATGTATTTTTACCAAAATGCCCAACATTCTACTTACAAGCTATTTTTAGATAATGATCTGATAATAATCCAATAATGAATTTAGCAGATAAACTCAGCTGATGGTCTGTTAGGGGGAAAAAAGACAACTGGTCAGGTTGAATTTTGTTGTGCCAATATATTTTTTTACCACAACAAGGCCTAAGGGTCATTTGGACAGTTAGGTGCAGATTTATGTGTAATAGTTGCAAATTGCATGGATGAAGGTATTCTTCAATAAGGAAGAATGCACTTTGACTCAACACAACCCGCTAACTGGTTGAAGAAATAACAGTCTAGCTGTAACAGTGTGCAGAACTTCAGCAGCTACAACATTACATCTGTTTATGGGAACACTGTGGCTTAGCATATGTCATGTACAGTATATCTTTCATGTGTCTATAATTTTTAATACAGATGGTTCCAAACTTGTAAAAGCATTATGCATTTATATGTTCTTATTTTAGAACTTGGACCTGAGCATGTGTTTCCAAATCTGCATTGACAATGCTAGGCTTGTTATGCATTTTTCAAAAACTATTTCACCACAGTACACACTTCCACTGACTGGGATTCTACTGTGGTGAAATAGTTTTTTGAAAAATGCATAACAAGCCTAGCATTTAAAATGCTGTAGTAAATGGACAATAATAAGAATGAACAAATGTAATTTTTTTTGTATCTCTGGCTTTATATACTGTATATTGATGTGAAAGCGGGTAAATGTTTGTAGCACTTTTCATAATGCTCTCTTCCTCAGTTCCGATCCTGCATGATGAAGATGATCTTCTGTGGAAAGAATCCACTTGGTGATGATGAGGACACCTCTGCCTCTGGATCTACTCAGGTGTCCTCTGTGTCCAGCAGCCAGGTGGCACCTGCATAATGCCAGACACATGCAGCTTCTGTTCTGCCACGTTTATTGCCACGACTTTGTGCCCTCAAATGCTTCCAGGTGACATCGCTATCCTCCACGAACCCACACTCAGTTACTCCATAAACTTAAAAAAAATTAAAGTTTCTCAACTCAGCCATGTAGCAATTAACCGTTCAGGAAACGTTCCCTAATCTTTCCTTTCGTAAACCTAAAACATGGGACCAAAGCTTCTGAGTATGTGGTCAAAAGCCATGTGAGGGTATAAAATGACACAGAGGCATGAAGTATAAGTTAGACATCATTCCAATTTCTGAAGCATACAATGCTGTTCCAAAATTCATGTCCCTCCCTATGAGATGAAGCGGTCACATTGGCATTCCATTGGTTTGTAGCTTTTATCTGTAACACAATGTGAGGTCTTTGAACTAAAGATAAAAATAGTTTCTGAGGACTGATTTCAGCAAGGGAAGTGGTTTCATAAATATATGTAGGTGGTATTATAATTTTTTTTAGCATGGTATTTTTTTTTTTTAATTCATGCCTCCCTGTCTTGTATTGGTTACATTGTAGTGAAATCTGGTCAATTTGTTACCATCAACTGAAGCCCCCAGATGTATTTACATAGGCAAGGAAATTTTACAAAGATAAGGTGCTCCATAAAACTATAGTAGATGGCTAGATGAAAAAAAAGAAGAATGTTTTTTTTTTTTTTTTTCTACCCCATATTTTGGCATTTGGACAGACATGGTCCATGTCTGTGGAGTCACCATCACACCCACCGTGTTATAGTTAATCAAGTTTAGCGGACATTCCATGTTTACCAGCATCTCCATGAGTACATACTATATACACTATGAAAAAAATAATATAGCCAACAAGGTAGT